TGTACCAGTGCTTATGGCCGTGTGGTCTGTCATTAGGGGGATGACATGGAGTTTGGGTCCATAGAGGCCAGGCTGAAAGCAAAGTATACTGGAGGCTAGGTTTGTAAGGGCTGGCCTGGGTCCTGGGGCTTCAGGGGCCAGCTTAAAGGGTATTAGGGCTATAGGGAACATTACAACACTGGGCAGGCCTAAATCTTATATCCCTGGTTTGGCCTAGTTCTTGAGAGCAGATATGCTGATATGACCTAAGAGCAGGCCTGCAGCCTAGTGCTGAGAGCCACGGCCGAGTCTGTATGGCCCCTGGCATTTTGCCAACAGTATTGATTGACAGGCGAGGCATTACTATCCGCCTCTGCCGCAACTTTTGAGTTCTCGCACTATTTTGGAGTTCTCATGGGGATTTCCGGGGATTCCCCGAGAGTTCCCATTGGTTGGAGAAAGACATTTTAGATCAAGCAAAAGAGAAGGTCTCTCAAGCTAGTCAGACAGAGGAAGAAAATTTAAAGGAAGAAAGCTTAGAGGAGAAACAGCTATTAGGGAAAAAGCTACAACAGGAGGCTGCTACTAACACCGTTCTATCACCAGAGGGCGTAATTCAACCAACAGCTCCCCCTATGGAGATAGCTGAGTGGCCCTCAAACCCCGTAGTTGATAGATGGGATCCTGAGACAGGACCTCAAAGATTAGCATGCCCTGTACTTGAGCAGGCAGGAGGGCAGCGAATTCACCGTGCTTTAGATTTCAAAACAGTGAAGCAGTTAAAGGAGGCTGTAACAACCTATGGTCCTCAAGCACCGTTCACTGTAAGCATGGTCGAATCCATTACCAACTTGGACATGACGCCAGCAGATTGGGCTAGTATGTGTAAATCTGTGCTAAATGGAGGTTTACAAGGTCAATTATCTAAGGTAATACAAGGAACTAATGAACCTTACGCTGAATTTGTAGATAGGCTTATTCAAGCAGCTTCCAGAATTTTTGGGGATACAGAACAGGCAATGCCATTTATAAAACAACTGGCTTATGACCAAGCAAATCGTTGTTGCAGAGAGGTCATTAGACCATGGAGACATGAAGATTTAAACACATATATTAAATTATGTAGAGACATTAATGAACAAGGGCAAGTCTTAGCAGCAGTACAACAGGCTTTAGATGCCAGGCCAAAAACATGCTATAATTGTGATCAAACAGGACATTTTAAAAGGAGTTGCCCCATAGGAGGAGGGTTTAACAAAGCTAGATATCAAACGAATAGAATACCGGGTATTTGCCCACGATGCCGTAGAGGGAAACATTGGGCTAATGAATGCCGTTCTCAAACCACCATAGAGGGTATTCCGTTATCAAAAAACAGACAAGGACCAAGTGTTTACCCACGATATCGTGGAGAACGGCATCGAGCTCCATTGCCAAAAAACGGACAGGGGGGCCCAATGCTCCGGGGCCCACGACCACAAATGTACGGGGCACTGGAGGAACCCAGAAACACCATGGAGGAACCCAGCAACACCATCAGGGTAGTGCCCAGGACACATTATCCATCGGATCTCTCATCAGACGAACCAGAGGAAGCGCAGGGTTGGACATCTGCGCCTCCGCCAGAGCAGTACTAACTCCAGAGATGGGAGTTCAAATCATTCCCACAGGAGTAAAAGGACCTCTTCCCCAAGGAACAGTAGGCTTATTGTTAGGACGCAGTTCTTCTACGCTAAAAGGACTTATGATAAGTCCCGGGGTAATTGATCCCGATTATGAAGGTGAAATAAAAATTATAGCTAGCTCTCCAAAGGGTATATCAGTAATTTCACCAGGAGATAGAATAGCACAGTTATTAATAATACCCAGCCTACATGATAAATTTTCCAGTAGTACTATAGAAAGAGGTTCCAGGGGATTAGGCTCCACAGGTGTAGATTGGGCTATGCTGTCTTTAAATTTAGATTCTCGTCCCATGCTAAAACTAAATATTCAAGGACATGAATTTAATGGACTACTGGATACAGGTGCAGACCTTAGCATCATATCTCGTCAAGAATGGCCAAAACATTGGCCGTTACAACAAGCCACTCAAACGCTTCGAGGCCTAGGAGTGGCGACTAATCCCCATAGAAGTGCAATGGTATTAGATTGGAAGGATCCTGAAGGATGTGAAGGAACTATACAGCCATATGTATTGGATCATCTTCCTATAAATTTATGGGGACGAGATGTCCTAGATCAATTAGGTTTGACATTAACAAATAACATCAATCCAAATGCGCCCACTATTAGGGCTAGACAAGGTTTCAGGAAAGAAAAAAGATTAGGAGAACAAGGCATAGCAGCACCAATTCAGATAGATCAGGGAATAAATAGACATGGACTGGGTTTTCAGAAGGGGTCACTGAGGCAATAAAAATTACTTGGAAATCAGATAGACCAGTATGGGTTCCTCAGTGGCCCCTGACTAAAGAAAAGATACAAGCAGCCCATGACCTGGTCAAACAACAATTAGCGGAGGGACATATACAACCTTCCGTATCTCCTTACAATACTCCCATTTTTGTCATTAAAAAGAAATCTGGTAAATGGAGATTATTGCAAGATTTAAGAGCCATTAATAATGAGATGGTTATTATGGGACCTGCTCAATCAGGGATTCCTCAATTGTCTGCTTTGCCAAAAACCTGGTACGTTTTAGCTATAGATATTAAAGATTGTTTTTTTTCAATTCCAATTCATCCTGAGGATAGTCCACATTTTGCATTTACTATCCCTGCACTGAATCATGAAGGTCCTGATCAGAGATATGAATGGAAAGTACTCCCTCAAGGGATGGCTAACAGCCCAACTATGTGTCAAATTTATGTTAACAAAGCAATCCAGCCACTTAGAAATCAAAATCCTAAACTACAAATATTTCACTATATGGATGATGTATTGTTAGCACACAAAGATAAAAACACATTGCTAGAATGTTATGCCACACTTACAAATTTATTAAAAAATTATAATCTAGAGATAGCAATAGATAAAGTACAATTAAATTTTCCAATTAATTATTTAGGAGTTCTATTATCCTCAACCATGGTCCGTCCACCAAAAATTCAAATACGAGTAGATCAACTCAAATCACTTAACGACTTTCAAAAGTTATTAGGAGACATAAATTGGATAAGGCCTTATCTAGGCATACCAACAGGAGAGTTGGGACCTTTATTTGATATCCTAAAAGGTCCATCAGATCCAAATTCACCCCGCATGTTAACGCCTGAAGCAAGAAAGGCATTAAAAATTATTGAAACATATATGGAAAATATGCATTTGGATAGAATTGATATAACTTTGCCTTTATTATTTATTGTAATACCAACAAAAAATATTCCTACAGGAGTATTTTGGCAAGAAGGTCCATTATTGTGGATACATTTATCTTATTCTCCTAACACTATTCTTACTAGGTATCCTGAGGCTGTAGGACAATTAATACTCAAAGGAATAAAAGCAGCAAAGGGAGTGTTTGGAATTTCTCCCAATAAAATTATTACTCCATATACTATGGATCAAATTGATGAGTTAGCTAATGAGTTAAATACTTGGGCAATAATCATGTGTAAATCTAATGTTTCATTTGATAATCACTTACCATCTAATCCTTTGTTGTCTTTTTGGTCTTCGCATCCTGTAGTTTTTCCAAAAATGACAAGAAAAACCCCTATCATGAATGCTCCAAATGTATTCACTGATGGGTCAAATAATGGTACAGCAGCAGTAGTTACCCCTGATCAAACTTTTACATTTTTAGCACCCAAACAATCAGCTCAAAAGGTAGAGCTTAATGCAGTTTTACAAGCTTTTGTGATGTTTAAAGATTCTGTATTTAATTTATTCTCTGATAGTCAGTATGTAGTTAATGCTATAGTATCCCTTGAAGATGCTGGCAGGATTTCCCCTTCCTCTACTGTTTTCTCTTTGTTTTCTGCTATACAAAGTGTAATCTGGGACAGAAAAGATCCATTCTTTATAGGACATATCAGAGCACATACAGGATTGCCTGGAGCCCTTAGTTTGGGCAACGATTTAGCAGATAAAACTACACATGACATACATATTTTCTCTACACTAGAAGAAGCTACACATTTTCATAAAAGGTTCCATGTCAATGCTAATACTTTACAAAAGCATTTTAAAATAACTAAGGAACAAGCTAGACAAATAATAAAACAATGTCAAAATTGTGTGACCTTTTTACCACAAGTTAATCTTGGAGTCAATCCTAGAGGACTGATACCTAACCATATTTGGCAGATGGACGTCACACACTTGCCACAATTTGGAAAATTAAAATATTTGCATGTTACAGTTGATACTTCTTCCGGATTTTTGATGGGCTCCTACTCCTGCTGTATCAAGTACACAAGTTATTCGTCACCCCCCGGTTATTCTGCTGCAGCTGGACAGCGGCACCTAGGGCTCTGTGGGCTGACTTGGCTGTGGGCTAATTGGTAATCTGAGGTGGACCTGGAGCCTGGAGCTAAAAGGCCTCACCAGGAGGCTGAGTCCATGGGTGGTAGGCTGATGACTAGGGCTGTAAGACATGGCCTGATCCTGGGGTGATGAGTGTCAGGTGCTGGGGGTGGTATGGATCCTGGGGCTGCTGAGTGAGGCTGGCCTGGCTCTGGGGTGGCCTGGAGACTGAGGCTGTGGGGACTTTCTTGGTGCTGGTCTGGGCCTAAAGCCTGGTACACAAGCATTGATCTAGGATTAAGAATGATCTAGAGCCTGGGGTTATTGAGGACAGCCCATCAGTGAAGAGATAGTTAGCTGTGCAGGCCTAGAGCCTGGGGTTGTGGTATCTAGCCTGCTACTAGGACAGGCTGAGAGCACAACTCTCTTGTCTACCCAAAGCACCAGGGGCTTGCCTGATGCTGGGTTTTGCAGCATTAGATTTCAAAGCAAGGTCCAGTGCTTGGTCCCCTCTCCTTATAAAAGTAGAGGATATCTCTCTACATGTGCAGTCTCATGTTGGGGGAGGGGGATGTTACAGGCAATGTAAAATTGTCCTTCCTACTCTCTTCAATGTGTGTGTGCTTTTTTTCCCCTTACTTCTGTGCTATACTCATGTAACATGATCTCTTACCCGGTTTCCTTAACTCTTGTAAAGGTATTTTGTGTGTGGATCATTTTCAAATTGATATTTGTGCAGAAGGATGATTCCTGAAGAGTCCTAGCCACCATTTTGCTAAGCATCTCTCTCAACCCTTTGTACCATCTGCTCAATTTTCCTATAAACCTAAGACTGATATAAAAATAAAGCATTAAAACCAAAAAGGCTTTTTGTATGGAGCAAGTTCTGATACAGATCAAATAAAGATGAATCATATGAGTAGGCACTGCCAAGAAACTTCTCCACAGGTCAGATAGTGATAATTTTCTGAAAATGGGACTTTTTTGGGATCTCCAACTCAGCCTCTCCCTCTAGTGACTGCTAGGCTACTGATTTTCACAATTACTGTAGTTGTCAGTTGTTCATTTTCAAGGCTACTGTAGACCTGGGAGTAGAGGGATTGGAATAGGACAACTGAAAATTTCACAAAGCTCATGGTTCTTATAAAGGTTCAGCCATTTTTCTTGAACAAATGCTCCTTGGACTATCACAAGCCTTTGATTAATCGCACAGTTCTGAAAACATGGATTTGGACAATTTATTATTGATGCTCTTATTTTTATTGAGCAGATTTTTGGAGCTCCTTGCTCCACCATTCCTCTACTATTTCACTTTTAGTCCCTTTTCACTGAGACTTGTCTTATAGAGCCACAGCTCTATGTCCTCTGTACTCATTCATTTGTTCAAATGATATAAGTTGATTTGCCCAGGAAACAGACTACTTCTCATCCCAAGAAATATTAAACAGCCTTAGAAACCAGAATGTATACATACTTAAATACATATATGTGTACATACACACATACCCTCAGCCCCATGCCAATGGATCTATCTACTACATGTATAATTCCACTTGCAAGAAGAGGTAAATACTAATGTTAATGTGAAAGGAAAAGATCTTGCTCCCATAGTACTCTTCCCCAATCAGATGCTTTTATCAGTTTCTCATCCTTATAGATTTGGGTGATTTTATGTTCAAGAGAAGAAAACAAACTTTGACTTTAATTCCCCAGAAGGGCCAATGTAAAAATATCAGAGAAAACAAGAAGGGAGGGACAGAGGAAAAGGAATTTCCACACACCAACAATGTACCAGATACTTGAACAATCTTAAGAGTGGTTGCAGGGGTTGGGCAACAGAGTATAGGAAGGCTCAGTAACTGTACTACTTTTCACTGAGATGATACAAGCTCAGCTGATACCTGCTTGCTGCACCTTCCTGGAGTCATGCCATGGTTTCCTGATGCTGCTGATGTCTCAGCTGGTAAGTCTGGAAAAACCTTCACAATATTAAGAATTGGGAGGTTGGTGAGATGGGAGCTGAACATGAAATTGACTCTGCCTTTTCCCTTTTCCATTCTTTTTTCAGACCTTGACATACTCTATGTCTTTGAAGCTATGAATAAGGCTGTGGTGAAATCATTAGGTGGAATGAGAGTCTCAAGAAGTTCTAGGTAGCATTCTCTATGATAGAGAATATTCAATAGCAAACCTTTTGAGGTTCCTGCCTTTGTAGCATGGAGTGTGTAACCAAATACTGCAGGTAAGAATGTATCTCAGTCTTTGTTTCTCTGGTTACTCATAGCTAAAGTGCCTAACTCCAGGACTCCCAGGTTTCACATAGTGCTCTGCTTTGTCTTTTTAGGAATGGATATTATGTATTCAAATACATAGGGGTTGAGACTATGGGGAAAGTAGCCACAGAGCCATGAAGGTAGATATGCCACTGGTGCTGAGAATTGCACTTATTCTCCCTTGTCTCTGTGTCACTAGGCCTAAATAATTCCTAGCATGATTGATTTTTGTTGGCTGCAGCATATTTTGTAGACATCACTGGCAGGATATAGACTTTATAACAGGCTGGGTATGGCTGGAATGGTATGAGGATGGGGGAGAGACCAAACCACTAGTCCTTATTAGTCTGCGTCCATTGTGCCTTGGGACTGTCCTGGTTATTTCTTAGCAATGGTGGAGACCTGTTAATACAGCATTGCAACAAGTGGTGGATTTCTTTTCCTCAGAAAATGTCTCTGAGTTTGGGGATAGTTCAGTGTAAAAAGGCAGAAGGAATTCTGTTTTCCCCTCCATTCCCCCTCCCCACCCAATACACATGCACGTACATTTTATCTATCAGCTGCTGAACAGTGCCGAAAGGCAGGCAGTCAGTGCTTCCTATGGAAATTCCCTAGTCCTGGTACTCTTAACATTAGCCCACTAATTTCCCCATTCCATAGCACACGATGCTTCTGCATCACGAGCCACACCTGTCTGCCTGTCTCTGTCCACCTCCACTAAAGACTAATGTCCTCCATTGTGATGAGTGTTTTCCCCTTCTGGATTGTACACACATTGCTGTTTCTCATCTTCCACACCTCCTCATAAACCAGGAGTGAGTACATTATTTTATTATTCTTATGTGTGAATCTACCCTTTTGCTCTATCCTTAAATCCATTGGTCTGAAACTCTCAATGTAATATAGTGGAGGGCGAATGTCAAATGGAAAAAGAGTCCTGTGAGCCCCTATTAGTATTTTGCTCCTTCTCCTTGGATGCAGCCAGAAGGATGTCACAGGTTTAGGATGGCAAAGGCTGGTGAGTCTGGTTGGGAGGGATCAGGGGCTCTGGGCTGTCATTTTTCTTAAGCTTGAGGACACTGCTAAGCCCTGATCATAGCTATGAATCAAGGAAACCTGCAAACTTAGAGACAGGCTTTAGGCCCTGAGTTTTAAAATTCTGTTCTAATTAGTTATATATGACAGAATGCATTTGACACATCATACACAAATGGAGTATAACTTCTCATTCTTCTGGTTGCACATGATGTAGAGTCACACTGGTCACGTAATCATATATGCACATCGGGTAATAATGTCCAGTTCATTCCACTGTCCTTCCTACTCCCAAACCCCCTCCCCTCCCTTCACTAGGCCCTGATTTTAATACCATAGCAGCTCTCTCCTTTCAAAATAAAAATACATTTATACATTTTTCTCCCTATGATAAAATAAATAATATGGTTTTAGAAATCAAATACATAGAATGATAAAAAATGAGTAGTAAATGTCTCCTTTCCCTCACTCTGAACTCTTTCTCTCAATCTTAAACACTTTTGTTTATGCTTCCAGGAATTTTATATTCCTGTAAAGTATCTATACATGCATTCTTTTTTTTGGTTGTATACAAAGTATATTCACACCTTTCTTCTATGTGTACTCTGCTGCACATTGCTTTTTTCAAAGTATATATGTAGAACATGTTTAATATCAGGACATGTAGATCTGATTCACTCGTGTTTGCCTTAAAAATAAATCTGGTTTTAAAATTATAAAAGTAATGCAAATGTCTGGATATATATCCAAACAATCCTGAAAAATAGGAAAAAAGTAACTCACACAACACAGAGGCAGTCTCTATTTCCAATTTATTTTGTATTCTTTCAGAAACTGTTGTATAAATTTATAGATATGTAACAGAACTTGTTCTTAAAACAAATGGGATCATCCATTCTGCTCTGAATAGTATTTTTTAAAACTCAATTTATTCATTAACAACATAATTACTACATACAAGTCTGCCTCATTCTATCACTGTTTTCTTGACTACTTTCCTGAGTCCTACACAGAGAAAATAGCTGGAATTTGGCCTCAGTTTCCTCATGTGTATAATGTGGAAAATAACAAGTTAATAATATTATTAATGAAAACTAAGAGAAACAATTTATATAAGGTATTTAGAATGGTGCCTGGTACATAGTATAAAGTACAGGCTGTTAATGTTACTCCCCAAGTCCATGGAATGAGACTATCCCACATGTGAATCTTGAGTCTAATCCAGATATCATAATAATGGTAATAATACAATAACAATACTAGTAGTATCTAACACTTATCTGGAATAATATGTGCCAGAGTTGTTGTAAGAGCTTTATGTGTATTAACATTCAACCTTCAAAACCATCAGGAAAATCCTATCATTCCAACTTTGCAAATGAGAAAACTGAGACAATGGCCAGCTCTGAGCACTGCGAGCACTGTGCACTGCGGCATGTTGGAAGAGATGTTTCATGGGGCTTTTGTCAGGGTGTCTTCAATGTGAGCTGCTGCTGACCAGGACCTTTCCATCTCTGCCTGTACAACATCCGTTTCCAGTGAAGAGGGATCTTACTGCTGCCTTTGGGAGTATTTCAAGTCCCAAAGGATCTCAGAAGAGTTGAGAAATAAGCACAGAATGCCAAACTATTGCTCAAATTCCTGCATGCCCGTGTTAATGGGAGGCTCAGACTTCTGAGGAATATTCCTAAGAAATAAGTGACAAACCTCAGTGACTTATTTGTTCTGAGAAAGAAAAGAAGAACAATCCAGAGCTAAATTTTGTAAGCTGGGTGATACCATTTTTTAATAGATGGAACCCAGAGAAAAAATAGTCCTGAAGGGGTCAATAACAAATTGACCTTTGGTCATTTGGAGCTTAAGGTCCTGGTATGATATCTAGTTAAATGTGTTTCTGTCAGTAAAAATACCAATGTAGGATGCAGAAGAGAAGTTAGGACTGGGAAAAAAGGATAAATGAAGCTATAGGGGTAGATCAAACCGTAATTAAAGAGTGCTATGAGAAGAAGGCTCAAGATGGAGCTTCGGAGAAGGCCTACATTTAAGATGGAACATTTAACAATGTTGAAAGATACTGAGGGATCAAGGAGGGAGGACTGAAAACAATGTTTATGTTTTTAAGAGAGTTTAAAAGAATGGAAATGGGATCCATATTGCATCACACTGAAGAGTGAGAGAGACCTGGAAATGGATGCATTAGCAGGGATGATTCATTCCCTTTTCTCTAATTTTCTTGCTAAGGATTGTCCATAACTGATATATTACACTTCTATTTGCTAATGGTTTGACTTCCACTGGCAACTAAGCTCTACACTCGGTATATATTCAAAGTTCTTAGTATATTCGGTAGACATCTGTTGAATAAATGTAGTAAATTTGGATGATAAGAAATGGAGAGTGGGGGCTGGGGTTGTAGCTCAGTGGCAGAGCACTCACCTAGCATGTGCAAGGTGCTGGGTTAGAGCCTCAGCACCACATAAAAATAAATAAATAAAATAAAGGTACTGTGTCCGACTATAGCTAAAAAAAAAAAAAATTAAAAAAAAAAAGAAATGGAGAATGATGGTGAATTCACTAAAATGTGTTACAAAGAAAACAGGATCTGGGCTGGGGTGGTGGCTCAGTGGTAGAGCACTTGCCTAGCATGTGTGAGGCACTGGGTTCTATTCTCAGCACCACATAAAAATAAAGAAAATAAAAGTCAATTGACAACTAAAAAATATTTAAAAAAGAAAACAGGATCACTTTCTGCCAGTGTTTTAATATGAAGATTTATTTTGTGGTGCTGGGTTAGAACTCAGGGCCTTGAGCCCGCTAGTCAAGTGCTCTAGCACTGAGCTATATTCCCAGCCCACTTCTAAATTTTGAGACAGGGTCTTACCAAGTTGCCCAGGATGGCCTTGAGCTCACAGTCCTGCCTCAACCTCCCATGTAGCTGGGACATAAACATGTGCTACCAAAATTTTTATTAAAATATGAACATTTTTAAGCAGCCAAAAAGAAGAAACAGTAATAAATGGACCACCCATAAGATCACCACATATATTCTACAATCAACATTTTACTATGTTTTATTACATATCTACCCATCTATTTATCTTTATATCCATTCATCAATCCAATTTGTTTTATTTCAAAGTAAGTTGTTGATCATACTATTTCATCTATAAGCACTTCCTTATTCCTGTAATTAATACAAGATAAAATGTATATGTGTTTCATTTTTGTTGAGGTAAAATATGCACACAGTGAAATGCACAACTCACAATTGTACCATTTGGTGAGGGAGTTTTGTTTTGGGGTACTAGGGGTTGAACCCAGGGTCACTCTACCATTGAGCTATATCTCTACCCTTTTTTAACCTTGTCTTAAAAAATGTTGAGCCAGGGTCTTGCTAAGTTGTCCAGGCTGGCCTTGAACTCATAGTCCTTCTGCCTCTGCCTCCATTTGGTGAGTTTTGCCAAATACACACACCTCAGTAACTCAAATTCCTGTTAACATATAGAGCATTCCACCATATATTTTTTGGTTCTTATTTTATTGAGATCCACGTCTTAAAATTTACTCATTTAAAATGTGCAAAGTTCTTAGTATATTCAAAGAGTTATGCAACCATAACCATCATTTCCAGAACATTTTCATGACACCAAGGAGATTACACATTAGAAGTCAATCCCCACTTCCCTCCCTACCCCCAGCCTTCAGCAACCACTAATATGCTTTCTGTCTCCATGAATTTACCTTATCTTATTATCTTATAAAAATGAAATCATGCAATGTGTGTGTGAACTTCTATATTTGTCTTCTTTCACTTAGCATAATGTTTAAGGTTCATTTATTTTGAAGTATACATTAGTACTTCATTTTTATTACCAAATAATATTCTATTGTATGGATATATGATATTTGTTGATCCATTAATCAACTGACATTT